ACCTCAGGGTCACATCGAAATTCTTCACCAAATTAAAAATATATATATATATCATCACAAATATAGTATATATATATCGTCAAATAGAATATATCGTATACATATATATATATCATCATATATATATCGTCATATATATATATACTTCGCTAGCTTCCTGCTACGGTTTTCTCCGGTCAGGTCGAGCGGCAGTGGTCGGGGCCGTCACTACGCGGCCATGCTGTGCCTCTAGTGCCAGCGGCGTGTCTGGAGTGTATTTTTTGGCTGTGATAGACCTTTCTTTGTTTCGTGGATGTTTTGCTGGCTTGTGATGGGGTGTGAACCGACAGTCTGTAGAGTTTTCCATCTGGTGTGGGTGAGTGATAGTCTACTTTGATTTTGGTTAAGGTAGATTATCATTTACAGTGTAATCAGTGAGGGGATTCTGCAGACTGTTGAGGGTTCAGCCTCCTGATGAGTCGGTGAAACTCCGACGAAACAGTTTGTCACAGCCCCTCGTTTGTTGTCCTCTTCTCTCTCTCTGCCTACGGTTTACCGGGCAGTTCTATTTGACGATATATATAGGGTTGCCGGGCCGAACGTACGGAGGCCCCTAAGCTGACCCCCGAACGTTCGGGCGTTCGGGTTCCCGTACGGGGCCCATACTTTAAGGGGCTCGGACCCCCCAAAAAAATATTTCGGCACCTAAATATTATTTTTTTTTTCTGAATTTTTTTCTCTGAGTTCTTTGTGATGTAAGGTATCTCCCTCTTAATTTTGAAGCCATTCTGTCAAGCCAAAAAAAAATTGAAAAATCCTCAAAGATGGTGGTGTCAGAACTTGCTTGCCCACTCACTCACTTGTTTTTTCTCTCTTTTCACTTTTTGTTTTTCCTTTATTTCAGGGCATGAAAAAAATTACTATTTTTTCAAACTTTACTTGTAGATTTTCTATTATGTAAGATACACATATATAAATTTTCATAGCATTTGATACAGCGAACAAAAAAATGAAAGATCGTTAAAGACGGCCGTGTCAAAAACGTGCTCGCCCACTTGATAATTTCATTCTCGTTTTATTTTTTCTAATTTTCATTATTATTATTTATTTTTAGTATTTGATTTTTATTTCAAATCTGGTAAAGAATTTGAATGTAACGTTGAGGCAAATGTTGTTTAGTTTATTCTTCTGTATAACATATATTGTTTTCAGATTTTTTGGAATTCTTTTCTTTTTTTTTTTCCTTTTTGTTTGGGGTCCACATTCGGCCGAACGGCCGAACGCGTCGAGAGGGGGTTCGGCCCGTCCCAAACGCCGGCAACCTTGTATATATATTGGCCCGGCCGGGCAAGTGACCCCGGGCCACTCTGGTAGCCTATAGCACAATGCACAAAAGAGTGCGAGACTGTACCAAAAAAAAGAAAAAAAAAAGAGTAGACATGCCTTCGAAATAGCCTTAAATATATACTAATAATATTCATAATAATCATAATGAAATGCCATTATCTGCTGATATCTGCTGAAATGAACACCTGCGTTCAAACCCCAGTCGAAGCAGACACATTAGACACAGCTGGCCCTTTTATCACGGAGGGGGCGAAATGGCGGGAGGAGGGGAAATGGCGGGCGGAGGGTGGAAATGGCGCGCAGAGGGGGGAAATGGC